TGAAATCATGCTTCAGCTAGGAAAGAACAGCCTTGCTCCTTCTGCTCAGCTGACAGTAGCTTGTCTCCTCCTGAACAAGCCCAGCAGGAACAGATGTAAAATACAAACCCTGCAAAATCAACTGCTGGATTCTGTCTGGCAACCTCTTTAGATGGCGACAAGGAGAGCAAGGCACGAGACAAACCCACTTTGGATGCAGCTCCTTGTGAGATCAGAGCCTTGGGGCCCCCCACAGCTCCCCCAGTTACTGCATACTTGTCCCTTGCGTCCTTTGCTCACGCTCTAGCAAACAACCGCAGTTACTAACAGCACCTTGTTTTGCTTTTTTCAGTGGAAGGGAGGAGTACTTTTCAAATGAGGAAAATATTACACAATTAAAAAAGATTATTCGAACTCTGGTGGGAGGCAGGGAAGGGTGCTGCCTTCAGTTTATCACAGCTTTTCTCATAATTCCCTTGGCATGGAGATAAGGAAAGAACAAATGAAGAGACCTGTGAGAACACCAAGCAAAATACTTATAAAAAAAAAATACACAAAGGACCCACTGATCAGTTTGCAATTTTTAAATACAAGTTTCTGAAATGTACATCTAAGAACCTATTTCTGAATATGCTGTACTGATTAAACTCTGTTTTTAATTGCTTGGTTACTTGCACTTTGTTTCCTTGCCAGTGAAAGGAACTTTCCATCTAACTTCAGTGACTTCAAACATAGTGATGAGATGTACACGTTACAATTTGCCAACAAGGAAGTCGTGCCACTGGATGTTAGTGGAAAACAAGAACAGATAGTCAGCACATAAAAGGGACGAGGAGGTGCAGGGATCAATGAAACAGCAATTCGGAAGGAGTTTGAGTATCTGTGACAGTGAATATCACAAATTTAATTACGGTAGACCTTTTGATTCTAGAAAATATCCTTAATGTAAACCACAAACAAGTCCATGGTCCTCAACAGTCATATCCTGGATTGCATGCACCACCCTAGGTTAATATTTAGTACTTAAGAACACACAACGTAAAAGATACCAGGATTATCAGATCTCTCTCTAGTTGATTTTTCCCCAAATGAAAGCTAACGTACTTCTCACTCAGGTTTGCTGGACTGCAGGCACAATGTCCTAAGATGGTGCAGATTTCCCATTTGATATGTACCAGAAGTTATTAATGTTAAAAATCTCATTTTCTGTTACTCTTGTTATTACATAAGGAACTTAAGTGATTCTTCAGAAAATCTTAGGAAAAATAGTTTTCAAAATATTGTAGACAAACAGCTTAACAGGGTTTTTCTTTCTTGCATACATGTATAAATCATTATCTTCTCAGGCCAATTTAAACACTACAGAACATTTTCTTAGAAGTTTATTTTGTGGTAATACACTCTTGTAAATGTACTACTAAAAAGACGGGTTAGCATGATTGGTTTAATCACTATCTTTATCACAATTGGTTGATCACTATCTTTAAATCGTGAATTTTAGGTGAAACTGCTGTAGCTGTAAAAACATTACACCTACTTTCTAATAGAAGGCAGCTGCTCCCCTTATTAATCAACACAAAGTTTTATTTCAGGAACAGAAGGGAGATACATTATACAGTGTAGACAGGATACACACCCAACTACATCGCCACTCAGCCCAAGAGAATCTTTTCTAAAAGTTTTTGTGGACTACGAAGATGCACAGAGCCATGCTTCGAGTCCTAAGATGCAAAAGTCTTTGCATCACTTCACTGAAGAACTAGCCTTAATTTAAGCCCAACAAAAAAACAATACTTTTACTGGGCACTCAAGTCTTCTTTGCTGACTTGAGAGAAATGAACTATTTCTCAGCTATATGTGATTTCGATTACATACCTCTGCTTTCAAGTGTAGCAAGTTTGCTCTTTACAGGTGGAAGAATTGGAAAGACTTGAGATATCTGGAAATATCTTTAATTCTCCCATTTATTAAACAGCAAGATGTTTGTGTGTAATGAAAGCAGGTAAATAAATGACTAGGATATCAGAAAACCTTGAAGTTATCAGCAGCAATGTGAACACACGCCGCCTGATATCTCACTCATTAGTGAAGCATCACACAGCACCTTCAGGAAGGCTGTGAACACTTCGCAGTCCCTGTTGGTAACTTCCACCAGAAGCATATCACTAGGACTACAGACTGAGGAGCAGCTGAGTATTTGTTTAATCATACCCATGTCCCACCCGTTTCCCCATTTACAGCAGCACAGCGATGCACAGAGCGACACAGCACACTGGACAGGGACCTGACCCGTATCCTGATCTAGCTCACCCTCCAGTTCCACAGTTCTGCCAGCACAACTAAGGCAAATGAATGCTGAGCGTTACCCAACCAGCACGTAGGGTACAAGCTATTTTCTTGCTTAGAACATAACACGCAGGAAATTTTAGGAACACTAAACCAACGAGGCTAGAAGGAACAAAGTAACCCAATAACACAAGAGGAATGAATGGGGCCGATTGTGTGCTGGTTTTGGAGAAGAGGCCCACACAAAGCAAATTCACATTTCAGTGCCTGAGCCCAATCCCGAGAAGAACAGTAGTGACAGGTACAAGTCAGTTGCACTTGCTTCTGTTAAATAAATAAATAAATAAATAAATAACGTAAGTAAGCAGGTAACCCATGGAAGTCCCAGAAGTGAGGGAAAATGCCAAAGGGCCAGGATGTCAGCTGGAAGTGCCAGGGCAGGTTCTATGAAACAGCCCTCTAAGCTGGTATTAAATCCTCCTTTCTGCAAGAAGCAGGAGGAAGAAATGCAGCTCCATGGCTAGGAGCAAATTTCTCAATGGAAAATATGTTTTGAAGCCAGTAGGATAAAAATATCCACATTGCTTTGGAAGTGATTCACATTTTAGTAACAACGCACCAAGTCCAAGCAGAAATTAGCTCTCCAGAAGCAACTCAGATCATTCTCATAGTCCTAAAGTTTAAGATTTAGAAAGTTTCAACTTATACATGACAGTTTCAACTTGCTGAAGAGCTCTTATTCAGAGATCTTCAGGGATTCCTCAGTACATGAGCTACATATACAGAAAAAATAAAAAGTTTCCTAAAGAAAAACTAAAGAAAATCTTAGTTTCTTTACACAAAAGATATTAAAAATACACAGCACATACACTAAAAAGCTCGCCTTCAGCATGTTCTTAGTGTCAACACTTTGCAAGAGCTCAATGAAAAAGAATTGACATAGCTATTCTTAATCTCAACTGAATCCTTTCTGTGACAATTTTCAAAGATTCAAAGTTCCTGCCAGTGCCACGACATTCCCACCACCTTCACACCTCAAGTTCTACAAGGCAGTAATAGAAAAAGGGTAAACATCACTAGAGAATCACTTGGAACTGCAGATCAGAAATCTCACATTGAAGACCTACTTTGCTCCCCATCACCACCCTGTGAGGATCTTACCACAGACTTATGTACCCTCAATCTCTCATATATCCTTAATCAAGTGATTATATAAAGAGTTTTGCGTGTTATGAACAAGTGCTGCTGTCATGTTTTGGTACTTCCTTTCAGTAAAAAGGCTGGGGTTTAGTATACAATTTTACATTACTTTTTCTTGGTGGTATCATCCCTTCAAGCAGTTCTGGTGCACAACTTTCTCCTAATTCCCACCCTGGTGCCTGCCTGGCTGCTTGTTCTTGTCCCACAGTGCAGAAAACATCTTAAGAGGGTTACGCGGAAAAATAGGATTAGCAAAGTTTCCTCCTGCTGCCTCTCCTCTTTCTTGTAGCGTTATTTTTAGCCCAGGTCAGGTCACTGCTGTGACTCACACACAGCATGACCTCATTTACAGTTAAGCCTGCACATAAGGAAATGGTCACTGCAAGGGCTGCAGCTGAGCTAATGCTTCCTCAGCAACCCAGGAGCTGAGCTAATGAAGACACAGTAGTTTTCTGTGGAGGAATATGCAACAGATCACACGTGTAAGAAAATTATTTTCTTGCAATTAGCAAGTTCCTCAAAGTTACAGGAACAATCCCAAGGGGCAGCTGAGAGATTCTCCAGGCTGGATTTCAGAAAGAGCACTGTAACATTATGTTTGTGTTTTCTACATTGTATGAGCTTTGGACAAAGGCTTGGTTGCAACTTAATGCCTTACAGTATCATAACAAAAATGGATTTCACAGACACCAAATATCCTTCCGAGGCACCCTAGCCAGCCTCACCTTCAGCTGTCATTGACGAAACCAATGGGTATGACAACAATTTCCAGAAACCATCAGCTTTTCCTTCTCAGCAGCGGATGGCACAACAGGACAGCACCAAGCAGAATGTCACCGCACTCCACTCAGTGCAAGGTACACGTTGTGCCAGAGTATGAGAGTGCAGGGCTTCAGACCAGCAGAATTTTTTAGAAACAGCATTGTTGCTCTGGAATACTCTCAAGTGAGAAAGACAGGACTTCTCATGAAGGTCTGAACTGGACTTCACAAGCTCCAGGTTCAGCTACTAGCTCCCAGACTCTGTTTTATGTTTCACACGCACTATTTTCCATTACTCAGCTGCAGCAGAGGAACGCTACTTTTGCTCTCCTCACAGAGAGCTAAGTCATCTCATTCACCACATGTATAGCAAACAACAAGCACAACCAAATCCTCAGCTTCACTCAGTCACTTGTAACCCCTGAGGGGAGTCTACACGGTCCTCTGCAGTGGGACACAAAAAACTGAGTAAGCACTAGTCAGGAGTCTATCAAAAACTCCAGTCATGAAGTGCTGTAACAACTGCATTGGTGTTGGGAAAGGCACAGTGCAACAGCTTAGGCTTGATGCTATTCTAACATCACCTCCAAGGCTTTGTACTGATTTGGAGCATAAAGTTAGAGGCTTGAGGCACAAAAGCAGGAGCCACATGGAAAGGGTCTACAGGAAGGCTTAGGTTTTGAGAAAAACAAAAGGTTCAGGTTCTATATTTTGACACTGAAGCAAATGTTCTGTAACATTCTTTGCATCATGGCATCTTCCCACTTTACTCACACAAAGATGTCGTCTTTTGGCATGATATGATTTAAGCCTTCATCCATTTGGAAGATTTTGTGGAATCGATGATTATACACGTCTGTCACCACCATCTAGAACAGCAAGCGATATATACAAAGAGATTATAATAAATATTTACATTAACTTAGGCAAACTAAATTCGAGCAACAGTTTATTCATTCTTGTTGTGATTTTTCAGCATATCTATCATCAGTACTCTGCTTTCTGTAACAGCACCAGCAGCTAATCAGCTGTATTCATTAAGGTGGATCAGAAAAACAAAGCAAGCAACAGATTGATTTTACAGAGGTATCAAGGAGATGCAGTTCCTACAGCGGCTAATCAGGCTGGTAAAAACAACTGCACAAATCTCAACACCAGAGTGACAACGGGCTATGATTTTAAGCAGAGATCACTCACATCTGTAATTAACTGACACAAAATGAAGTGCTACGCTAGCATCCTGAAAACAGTCCCCATCGCCTATGAAATTGTTCACTTTATAAAAAGCTCACCTGATCCCTTTGTTACCAAAAGGATGTCCAACGGGAGGTGGACCCAAAACAGACTGAGCATCTCACATTACTAAGAAACTACACTATCAGAAATGCTAGAGTGAGTAGAATACACCGACATTTAACGATTTTATTTTATTTTACAATTAAAAACTGCATTCAAACTTCTAATGAAATAACGACAGAACCATATGATTCTGCTTATCAGCCATTTAAAAGCTAAGACACCAAAATGCTTCCAGAAGAAAAAATATTTATCAAAATCACTGTTAGAATTTTTCCTTACATTTTCTGCAGGAACCCCAGAAAGTTTGGAGAGTGATTCACACAGATCTGAGATGGCCCCCATCATTGGCACCACGACCCGGTACTAGAAACAAAGATAACATCATGCTTACACAAGGCAGAATAAACCCATGTAAGGCAGCGAGCAAGACAATGGATATAAAACTTCAAATTTGTAGGAGTTCAGGTCACAGACACACATATTAAGGTTTTCGGGATTTCAGCTCTATCTTACAAAGCCAGGATTTACAGGGAACAAAAGAGCCTTAAACAGCTGGCCTCCTGCTTTGGTAAGGCTCACTTGTAGCATAACACGCACACACAAATACAAAACAAAAAGCACACACGACAACCTGCTAAGTAGATAACCCTGCTGGGTTATTTTATGTGTTTAAAAAAACTCCTATAGCCATTCTCCCCTGATTTTGAAATGCAGGATGGCAAACTCATGTGTACTGCATATAAGGATGGATCTGCCTGAGCAGATCAGGTGACTCAAGCTTGCAGTGGACTGGAAACATCATCTGCACTGAGTGTAGCTTACTTCTTTTAGAAGCTCCGTTCTGGACATACTCTCAGAGCTCACCCAGCAGAGGACACACAGGGCGCTACACGGCACTGGGGCTGGCGAGGATGTAGTTAATCTTCCTCACAGCAGCCTATGTGATGCCATGCTGTGAATTTGTTTCTAAAACAATGCTGATATCACACTGAGCAGTGGCAAGGCTGTCTCTCTCTCCCCGCTCTGCCCTCGCAGCAGATAGGCTGGGAGTGGGCAAGAAGCCAGGAGGGGACGCAGCCAGGACAGCTGTCCCCAACTGGCCAAAGGGCTATTCCACACCTACAACCTGATGTTCAACAAAATAATTGTGTTAGAGACAGAAGGGGTGCCTTGGGCACTGGCTCGCTTGTGGGAGGTGGTGAGTGATTCCCTTGGTGTTATTTGTGTCATCATTCCCACTTCCTCTTCATCTATTAAACTGTGCTTTTGTTCTTCCTATTCTTCTCCCTTCCCATTCATGGGCAGGTGTGGGGAGTGAGGTGCTGTGTGGGTGCTTGGCTGCTGGCCAGGGTCTGTACACCACACTCATGGAGCTACAAAAAGAATGGCACAGTTCAAGAAACCCTTCACCCTGTACGGCAGAAATATCTTGCAAGTCTGTAGGGAAGTGCCCTACCTCAGAGGCTAAACTTTGGATAAAAACACTCCTCTGAAGACAGCTATATGACCTTTTACAACAGCTAGCTGATGTTATGCAAGCAGAAATGTGCACGAATGCAAAGATTTGGGTGCACCAGAATGCAGACACCTACAGCTTGATTTGGCAGGGCATCTTTTCTTCATCAAGGAATCGGTACTGTATGTTTTAGAGAAGGACTCAAAGGCACAGTAGTAGTTATAGACAGGCACATGTTTAGAGTATCATGTGGAATATGAGCCTTGACTAAAAGGAACTATGTATCTTGATTATTCACTGGGATCCTCTCAGTTGTCCTATGTGCATATTCAGCTGTGGCCATCACAGGTTCTCGGCACAACCCTTACTGGTGTCACACACCAGAGGTGGAAGGTAGTGGTGCGTACCTCTGGCTTCTCAATTGGGAGATCACAAAATGCTTACATAATAATTACAAATAACTGCTTACAGGGAGACTGCAGGTGGGATGTGGAACAGGCACACAGCCAGTTCATCTAGAAGAGCTCCAATTACTGACAGTTGGGTTTATCTTAATTCAAAGTAGAATTTATCCTTTCAACCTCTATGCCACCAGTAATCTTGGTCAGCTTCTCAATGAATCCCCCCCTCTGCTCTTTCCCTTTATAAAGCCTCAGTGACGAGTGCAGCTGTCCTTGATTTCACAGTTGTACAAAAAGCAGGATGAGAATTCATTGCTAATTCAGCCTACTGCATCTACCAGTCCCCTCTGACAAAATAACAGCGTATATACAAATCACTAATTTTAATGCACAACACATACAAATATTGAAGGTTACTTCAGGTATGCGTGCACTCACCAACAGGCGTATTTGAAAAAAAGGAGAAAAAACTTTAGTCTACCCTGGAAAAGAGCAGGCTTTAAAAGCAATCAAGTCATTTATTTACTTATTTTTTGAAAAAGAGGTTGTTTTTTCAGTTGTTTGAAACTGCAAGGCCTTACTCAGAAGTTTCACCTTTATGTTTTCCCAGGCACATTTTATACGAGGTAAACATGATGACGTAAACATATTACTGCCTTCAGAGACAGCATATCACAAATAACCTCATCACAAGAAAAATTAAGCCACTTTCAGCTGACCCATGACCTTGGTCTCATGAATGGAGTTTTTACAAAGCCTTTTGATTTCACACGTTTAAATCCCAGCTTTTACAATTAAAAAAGGCCATCCCACCTGACTCAAAAGCAGACAGTGTCTTTTAGGTTATTTGAAGTGTCTCAACTTTAAAACTTCAGAGAAAGAGACAGATTAAAAAAGAAATTCAGGTGTTACTCATGCCTCACCTGGACAGGTCTGCGCTGTGGGTCTGCGTATACCAGGGTGACTTCCATGAGACGATCTCTCCTCAAAGGCAGTGGAAGGGTCAGGTAACAGAAGGGATCAAAGGTCACAGAAACTTTAGAGCACTTGGGACAAACAAGTGTCGATTTGAAGAGACCATGAAAAATATCCACAATGATAGAATCATTCCTCAGCCTATGGTTCTCCCAGGCTTCTTTTGCTACCACCTGTAAAAATTAAAAAAGAATAAATATTTCTTAACAACACTTCCAAGGCTCTGCGTGCACAGGGATCAAAGAAAATTCATGAAGTTCATACTGACAGATACAGAGAAATTCCACAGATGGGGCGGTGGGAGGACCTACCCTCTTTCCAGCCTAACACACACGGATTTTTCTCAGTGAAACTAAGGCCTTGTGTCAAGTGTAATTCATCATACCAAGTCACTTGGCCAGCATTGCTTTGATGCAAGCAAAGCCAGAAGCATGAACAGAAGCAAGTGGACAGTGACAGGGTTACACGCTGCTCCTCAGAACAGAAAGCTGCTAACTCTACCCCAGGAGGAATGGATTGATGTCCCCTGCTTTTAAAGGCAGCTGCGGTTACAGCTTCCAAGAAAACAGTTTTTCTTCGTGGAAGGGCCTATTGCTTGACAACAAAGTATAAAAGAAGGCAAATTAAAACCCCTTGAAGACTTTCACAATACAACTGAAAATTCCTCATGTAAGGACAACAAATAGCTAGCATTTGTCTATTTGTGTGATTAGAGGCTCATCTTAATATGAGATTTTTAGGTTGCGGTACAATACTGTATTTTTCATAGCGCATCTTCACTTCATCAAATAAAGTAAGTGCCATACACACCCCCTCCAAAGTTACTGCCAGTAACCAGGATGCTGAGATGAGAAAAGAGGAATTAGCTCCAATAATTGCAGCAATACAGAAACATGGCAGAAACATTTGTGCACCTCCTACACCAAGAGAAATGGAAGTACCTAAATAACATGAAGGCATGCTGGGCACCCTCTTCATCCCACAACTATCACCATTTCTTGGAGGAAAAAAAAAAAAAAGACTAAAACTTCTTGTGTTGCTGCTACATGCACTGTATTACACATGAAAAGGCAAAAACCATTATACTATTGCCAGTTAAGAGGAAAAAAAAAAAACAAATATTCACACAGACTTCCTAAAAATAATTGTTTTACCTGGCTTTTAACAGCTCCTAAAGCCTTACCCCACCCTAACAATATATTTACTCTGGACTCCGCATTTCTCAGTATGCTGCAGCTGTTTGTACCAGGGCAAGAGTTAAAAGCCTGATCAGGAGAATGCAATTTCACTTAGGGAAAGACATTCCACTATTGTGTGTCTCATTTTAATGTGAGCGTGGTGTTTGGCAACTTGAGAGCAACAAAGAGGTATTTGCAGAATGCTCACGTACGAGCTGTTGACAGAAGATAGAGAAAAAGGCAGGAAAAAAAAAAAAAAGAACATGAGATTTTTCAGGACTTGGTCAGGAAAATAGCATAAGAGAATTAGTTTTCTGTATTTATGTACAGTGGGTAACCTGGAGCCCAACAGTGTAAGGTTGCTTTTACATCAGTGCACCCACTCCCACAACACCAGAAAGGAGGAAAAATCAAGTCAAGCCTCTGCAGGAGAGGCAGGTAGTTCACCAACTGTTAGGTGATCAAGATCCACAGCAGTACCAAGTTACAGTGAATCACCTCCGCACAAAACTAAGTTCTCTCTTTGCTTTGCCTGGTGATTTCCAACACCCTGTTCAACCCAGGTCGGCAGCCGATGGCTTACATTCACCTAGAGGCCACAAGGGAGCACACCTGAGAAGTACGGCTTCTAAGTTCTTTCTGTCTGGCACGCTGCTGTCTACCAGAACACTGCTTACGATCCTGTGCCCAGGACACTTATACTGGCACTTTCTTGAGAGCCACCTAGGCACCACTTAAGAAAATCCTGTTCCACCTAATGCCACATGTAAATACGACCGCTTGCACAGTAAGCATTTCCCTTGAATTGATGCAAAAGCTGCTGCCCAAACTACCTGGAGGAAGCTACCCGAAGGAAGACAGTGGGCCTGAGTAGTCAAGAGACGAGATTATGGTAATAATTGCAATCTTACATTTAGCTGTTATGTCACCAGATCAATTTCCTTCCTTCCCACTGCAGAAAGAACACTGGTGTTCTGCTATAACACAGAGCAACAGCTACGTGCTGTAAAGTGTCACGAATAACCATATGGGCCACAGAGCATGGCAGGGTTCTCCCCTCCCAGGTACACTAGCAGGGAAGGTGCTTGTGCAGTCTGTGGACAAGAAGGCCACCAAGTGTCACAAAACCCAGTTGGGCTCCCTCAGAAGCAGTGGACACTTAAGTAAAGGGCACCATACCGAATCAGGTCTGCCATTAGCATCCTTCAGCTCCAAGTAGGGCTTCTTCTTCACTCTATTCAAATCCTCATGCAAACCATCCAGAAGAAAAGCCAACAGCTCCTGGGAATCTTGCTGCTGGTATCCTGAAAACTGAGGAGCAAACCGGCCAACCTGTGTCTGAAACATGATGCAAGAGTTAGAGGGGGGGAATATAAACTGTGTGTAAAACAAAGTGGAATAAAAACACGTCCTAGCTTTTGCGGGAATCAACCCCATGCTACCTTGTATTAGTAGCAGACCCCAGTGAGCTGGATGCTAACAGAACAGAGGGTGCCAAGATACTATTCCCAACTATTTTCTACTATATCCCGCAACACTTGAGAGAGACGAATGCATTTAGTGCTGTAACACTGGAAATCTAGATTACCAGTGTTAATATAGGAACCTGCAAACAACCAGCACACAAAACTTACCTGCCTGATGCATTTCTTACTTTTAATTTCTTGCAGAAGCCTACACTTCCCACAATGCAGACTTGCTATACGACTGTAGCTTGAAGAAGTTGGACTGCAAGATTGGAAATGCTTGCAGAAGATGCTTGTGAGCTAACACAACTGACTTAGAATTATGATTGAAATCACTAGTCACCCGTAGCCTCTAGCTATTCTTAAATTATTATTATTATTATTTTTTAAAAAAGAGCTATGAAGATCTAATACATAACAGCCTGGGCAGCAAAAGCCAGGAACAGCACACCCAAATATATCCTTTGCTTCTTCATGCAGCACAACACTGCCCTTTAGTGTTCCTGCTTCTAAAAACAACAGCTTTTCCTGTGGCATCCCTTTCAACAATTAGCTGAAGGAGCGGTCTTGTCCAAGTGACCAGCAGAAGTTTTCTCATGAACACACGGCATCCAACGTGCTTCCAGAGCTAATGCTTCAAACATTTTAACCACTCAAGATGACAACTGCAACAAAACCCAAACTGAAGGGCTGAGACAGTCATTTATCTGCAACAATATTAGAAAGTCACAAGCAATACTGCTCCACAAAGTAAGAAGTAATGCTTATTCCAGTCTTAAATAAGAACAACCTACATTAAGACATTTTTATTGATGTCCACTACTGATTCTGCATATTTCTTCTGAACAGAAGATTACAGAACAACTTTAATAGTGGTAGATGTTGTGCGACCAACTCCAATTCACGGATATTAAAGACCATCTTGTTGATGCATAATGACCTACAGCTCTACAGAGGACAATTTCTATAGTCCATAAGACTTTTGCTCTAGGTCACAAAAGCATTTACCCTCAACTTCGAGACCGTCTGAACGGCAAGAGGGTGTACATTTACATTAAGGTCAGCTCATTGCTTATTTTGTGCGTTCAGGACATTATTCTTTCTCAGATTACTAAAACTGCACTTACAGAGGTAAACTCTTAATGTACCTTGGATGCTTTCATTACATCGTCATGCAGTGCAGCATGACATTATATTTAGAACAAATGACTTTTTATCCTATGGGGGGAGTGTATACAACTGCTGCATTCCAGTATTTTAGCTGAAAGCAGCTCTTTATAATGAAAGATTAGAAACATTGAACCAATAAATAACGTGGCAGACAAGGAAATGTATTTTACTTTCTACTTTAAAAATTCCAGTTTTCAGATTTATGACTTGTACACCTCTTTTCATTACTTAAATTCACAGCTGGCAATTCACATTACCTTGCCTTGGTTTGTAGCAAAGATCATGTTGATTCATTTGAAAACAACTCTCAGGTTAAAAGGTCATTTACTAAGTAAGGCACTTAACATTAAAAACAGAAGCCAATTCCAGGTTAAGTTCCTTCCCTCTATCCTGAAAAGCAGTTAATTAAAACATGAAATAACACTGAAGCAGTTCTGTTATTACTGCTTTCAGGACACCACAATTTGTGGAACGCATGTTATCTTGTTTCTTCTGTCAAAGACTTATGCTACAAGAACACAGAGTACTTACTTTAAACATGCGTGGGGCCACGTGAGACTGTCTCCCAGACCAAATCTGTTTTATGAGCTCTGCATAGGCTTCTGCAATTTCTCCTCTCATTCCCAGGGGATTGTTCTGATTTATTTCAGCTTCGTATTTATCTTCCAGGAAATAGTCAGTCAGAGGAGGGGTATTGCTCAGACACTGAAGAAATATTAAGGAAATGAATTTACTGCACAGGACAATAAATCTGCGTGACAGCAAAATAACAAACCCAGCTTTCACATCCGAACATGTACTAAGTTATTAACAGATCAGTGAAACAGACTTACAGAGTACATACTTAGGAAAAAAAATCCAAAATCTATGGGAAGGGTGGGAAACTGTAATCACTGCAACTCAGAACATTGCTGAAATAAGGAAGTCACCACATGACAGACCACGGCATTCAAAAGACTCATTTCTGAAACTCAGTTTCTCTTTGCAGATGCCTCACTGACTTCTCTTGTTTGCCCACAAGTATAAGCCTTCTCTTTGGAAGACTTTCTCCCAGTTCAGTCTAGCATAAGGCATATAAGGCTCAAGGCTCCCCGGCCTGTAGCTCCTTGGTTCATCTTCAGAAATTTTATTTAAAACTAACATATTTGTCACCTTCTGCTCCTTTGGTGTGGAGTAATTTTACGCATGTATTTACTACTACTGTAATTAATAGTTCAGCAAAGCAGATAGCTAGCAATCTTCTGGAAAAAGTGGCCAGCATACTCATCTCACTAATGCTGCACGCACGTTAAAACATTTCCCATGTCAGATCATCGTTGCCTAAGCACTTTTTTTTTTCCCCATTCTAGTAGTGGTCTCTTCATTGAGCCCTGTCAGAATGCTTTTCTTTCCACAGATTGTGATTCACAATTTCTGTAGGACTGTTCTTGTATTTAATTCTGAAGTGTTTCTTTCCTTTTTTTACCTGCAATGCAGAGTTCATGAAGCAGGTATTCCCAAGGTTACTGAGTCCACAAAGTCCAGGTTGTGACAGGGAAGCAGAGTCCCCGCAGTTGTAAGAGTTGCAGACAAATCCAGAACCTCTGAAAGAAAGAAAACACAATGAGTTACCCGGTCTCAGTAATGCTGAAGACTCACACCAAATACGAGATAAAAATTGTTTAATGAAAGGCAGCAGCATGCATATTTCTGCTGCTTCAACGCTGGATAACATTGGATATCAGGATGATGAGGTATACATGCTAACTTTGGAAACATTAATCACTACAGTCTATTATTAATTTATGTTTCATAAAACCTTAATTTCCTGTCTGCGAGTACACAGCACGCTATCCTAATGCAGCAAATCTAGTATAAGAATCCACACGATGTATTGTAACAGCTAGCAAGAAAATTACAGTCTCTACCTGGAAAGGCTAACACACTGGCAGGTGGAGAGAAGAATATAATCCTTTCCCTCGTATCCTCAGTCCCCTCAAAATGGGGCTAAACCCTAGCAATTAGTAACTATAAAACACGTGCTACTTTACCAAGCGAGCAGGGAACTGCAGAGCCTAGTTGCCTCAAAAGCAAGGTTTGGTGACAGGTACACAAGAGAAGCAGAACTCCTCACAGGGCACCATTACACTCCTTTTCTATGCAGGCAAGGATGCACAAGAGAGTTCACACAAGGGACGAAGAAACAAAAGAACATTCCTGCTCTTACCCCCTGCCCAGGTGGGAGCTGTTCAGTCCATAGGAGTTACTGCTATCACCATTAGTAATGACAGAAGTGGCAGACACTGAGGAATAAGAACTTGCTGATGATTTTGAAGAGGTAGTAAAGTTTCTGCTAGTTGCAGTGCTTGATCTGGGAGAAAGGAAAAAGAAGGAGAAACAGTGCTACTACTTTTGTCTCCCCCCACACCACCTCCCACCAAACTCCGAGGACTTGCCACTTGACAGTCAGTCCCTCCACACAGATTTTACTGCTTTGATCTGTGTGATCACATTTCCAAACACTTGTCTGGAACAGAAACGTCAGAAAAAAGTATCAGAAGCAGGAGTAGCGATTCTTGCTTAAACCAAAATCTGGGTCCCAGACTGAAACAAGAGTGTAATTCAGATGGCACAAGCGACAGGACAGCAAGATTTACATTTACTCATAAACCACCATGGAACAAACAAAAATCCCAGTGTTAAGGCTACAAAACACTCGCCCCATGTTAAACACCACAAAATAAGTCCTCCTCTACTTAAAACCCAGACCACCCACCCAAACAAAACAGTGATTAGCAAGAACTAGGGTGCTAGGGGGAGCATAAAGCACTTTGTTACTCCTCGAGGGCCTCCAGATGCTGGATTCAGGCACTCTCTTAAGCAGAGGTCAATGTATGAAACCAGAGGGAGGCAGTGGGAAGATGACAGCTATAAGGAACGTAGAGGTTTGTAGATGTGGCCACTGTAAAAACCACCCAGGAATCTTCTGGTAGTTGTAGAGTTAGCAAATACAACAAAATACCTAAACCGAACATAGGAAATGACAGAGGGAATCTGGGCTGTGGCAATTTAGGCTGACAGAGAGGAGTTCTGGATTCCCTGAGCTGCTGAATATAAAAACGGAGGCATTGGTCAGCCTCATTTACCTGGTAGAAAACTGTTGGGCTTTGAAAGCGGGGCTAGAGGGAGGCTAAACAATGTGAAACAACAAAATCCCAGAGAGAAAACAGAAAAAACTTAGATGGAAAAGTTCATAACTTTCAATCCATGCAGTTGAGTTCCAGACTAATGCACACAACTCCTCTCCCTGTCCAAAAAAGGACAGGAACACCATGTTAATACACACCTACAAGGTTCTAAAAATCAACAATGATCTGTCACAAAAAACTCTGGCTCCACAAAAAGCAAAACTACAAGGATCAGAATAGTTTCTGTAAGCCTAAGTAATTTCTCTGTAGCAAGGGCTAACTGGGAAACCTTTATCCTCCCCATTTTTACCTAACCAAACACCCAGAACTGACTGTAGAGAGGCCCAGAACACAACTCCCCACACAGCAGCGCTAATTTAGGCACCCAAAACACAACCAGAAATGATGCCCCCGAGGTCTGGCTCGTTCTTCTTAAGGTACCCTGAGACTTGAAGGATAGAAACTAAACTCCCATCTTCATACTCAAATGCTAGTAAGAAAACAGGACTGGAAAACCTTGGCAGAGCAAAAACTGAAAGACAACAAGCTGCAAGGGCCAAGAGGAGACAGAACAGCTGGAGGCCTTACAAGTTTGGAAATAAAACATCAGCAAAAGAAATACAGAAGGGCAGAAGTTAAAACAGGAGCTTCTGGCTGAAAAATGCTTGATGTGAGCCAGCAGTGTGCTCTTGCAGCCCAAAAGGCTGCACCAGCAGCACGGCCAGCAGGGTGAGGGAGGAGATTGTCCCCCTCTGCTCTTGGGAAACCCCACCTGGAGCCCCACGTTCAGCTCTGGGGCTCCCAGCATAAGGAGGACAGTTAGAGCAAGTCCAGAGGAGGGTCATGAGGATGATCAGAGGGCTGGAGCACGTCTCCTATGAGGAGACACTGAGAATAAAATAGCTGAGCTGGGAAAGACCTCCGAAACTCATCTATTCCAAGTGCTTGGCCTCCCCAAGGCTAACCAAAAGCCAGAACACGTTAACGAGGGCAGTAACCAAACGTCTCCTAACACCAAGGGGCATGAGACAGGCTGGATGGGGCTAGGGGAGGGGTTGTGCCTGTGGCAGAGGGTTGGAATTAGATGGTCTTTGAGGTCCCTTCCAACCCAAACCATTCCGTAATTCTGTGATCTCACATCATGGTTTTAAAGTGCTTTTATTCAACCCAAGAGATTACAGATAAGCCGTTCAGATCATCAATAATCTCTGAAGTCACAACAAACTTGTATTTCATTCTGCAGCATCGAGTATCTGGCTTCAGCTTCTTCTAGACATTGGTTTGTGCTCATCTCCATCTGCTGCCTGTAGAGTTCCTCATTTAATTTCCATTTCTCAAACACCGCAGAAGCTTTTAAGCATTCAAATAACCTTTCAATTTTCTCACTGGAATAATACTAACTTTAAGTAGTCCGGTACAAATATCATCTGCTACTTCAGCAGTTCACTCCACTACTTCCGAAACCTCATTAAGCTACTTTTCAGATTTCTCAACCTACAGGCACACAATCATTTCACATGCCCTTTACCAGTGTGCTGGTGTGTGACAAAAAGAAAATCTGATTCGCACTCAGAATTTCCCTACTGAACCACCGAGGTTGTTTTGTTTTGGCCTCAAGGCTGCTACAGGAGCTTACTTTCCGGAGGCTGACCCAGAACTGGAATCCCGTTGCCACAGAGTCCAGCAAGCACCCAGGGCTCCCGTTCTTGATCCCCAAACACACTTCACCTTTCGCAGCAGTGATGCACGCTGCCCCTACTCTACCAGGGGAAGACAGACATGTCAACACTTAGCACACAACCTTTCAAAAACGCATAGAAATGGCAACGGAAGAGAAACCTGGAGACCAGCAGAATAAATCTGTCAGCTTTATCTAGTACAGAAACTGTGAGGCCTTGTGGTTGATCAGCACACAAACCGCTAAGATGAATTATTGAAATTAAAGCTATAGAAGACTTTCAAGTGGTTGGAAGACACAAGAAGAGTATTCTAACTGAGCTAAGGTTACCTTCAGAGCACACAGTAAAATGAGTCCTTCTATAAACTAGGAATACAAAGAAAAGAAAAAACATTAAAAATACTTTGACAAAATCAATGTCAAAGGAAGAAAAGATGGAACTTGTATTTAATTGGAAAAGGAGGGGCTATAACGAATTTCCATTTCCTCTTCAGCAGATCTCATATTCTTTGTCTGCTCACAGCACAGCATTTGCAGAGCAAGCACTTCCACAGCAAGAAATAAAGACCTGCCCACAACATCTTTAGCCCAGTTGCTGAAGGGTTTCCCTGAAGTCACCAGCACATAAGGGAATAGGATCAGTTTCAAATCTGGAAGTCCATTTAATAAGGCATTCTGTACCTACAAAATGCCTATCGGAGGTCTTCAACTGTACAAGAATTTTGGGCGTGTGTTATCACTGCCTGGTGCATCAGGTTGAACAGATGCCTAAATCATGACAGAGCAACTGAAGAAAAGCAACACGTGTTCTGCGAAGAGCAAACTACAAGACACCTCCTCGACGCTTTTATTCGAAAGCATCCTAGGAAGAAAGAAGTGCCCTGAGTGCACAGTGCTATCAACAAACTGAAGAACAGGAGGAGAATTCATTCCCTCTTCTGAAAAGCAATTTCAAACTACAGGAAGGAGAAGTCACCTTGCTCCTTCAGGAACAGCAAGTTAACAGCAGTGGCCACGTGCACTCCAAATACATCCCCCAAAGAATGCTATGGAGTTGAAAAGCCTTTTTTTTCCTGCTAAAGCCCAGTCCACTTGATGGCTGGGGATATCAAACACATGGAAAAGAGTCTCTGACAGGAGGCAAGTGGTGTGAAAAAAGCCTTGTGGCAGGAATTCCCCCACACCTCACAGCCCCCTTGTGCTCGGCAAGCAGTGGATGACGGACCCCCAGCTCCCCAAGGCCTCCTCAGGCACATGGGCAGCAGTGGAGACATTCACAGCTCCTCCACTGGCACCTGAGAGCTCGACAGCCCACGTGGCTTATGGCATCAGAGCTCTGAATGCCAAAGAGCTCTCTCATAAGCTTTTAACATTAGTGATGCAGGCCAAGGAAAAAAGCAGGGCAAAAGAGTGACCATGAAGGAGCGTCAGACACACAGCGCTGGGGACTGAGCCTGTTCCCCTGCAGAGCTCAGGGGCAGGCTGGCAGAAGAGGCTGAGGAAGGAGATAAGGTGGCTGCAGCTTACTTTTAGTTTCCTCACTGCTCTAGGCTGTTAGTTTATTACTAATACATGCTGATAATCTGGTGCTCAATCTGTTTTGCCCGTGATGGTAATTGGTGAGCTATCCCCCCGACCTTATCTCAACCCAAGACGGGATCTTGAGCCCTCCTCCATCATATTTTGTCCCCCAGTTCCTTAAAGTAGGTTTGAGACCACCATACCTAGCACAACCTGCCTCTCCAGTGGGCAGGATCAGACACAACTCCTTGGGGCTGCAAGCTCTGTACCACCCCTGTGGCTACTCTCCTTCCCTTCCTCTCACCAGCTCTGTTTGGTTCCATTGCTCAGGATCCCCCACAAGTCTTGTACATATAAGTAGCCTGTTACTTTGTGACAAACTGAAGTCTTAAGTATACAATATTGATTTAATGTAACATGTGTATGCACACACAAACCTCAAAGAGGAAGACAAACCACATCCCAGCCCTCTGCTCCAGGTTAGCCAGTCTTGCCAGCTGGGAAGAACAGTTAAAAATGCTGGCAATGTTTCATTGTAGCTTCATAAGCTACTCTTAAGAAAATAATGAAAAAAATAAAAGATTCGCAATAAAATATGAGAAGTAGCCAGAGAATATTCCAACATCAAATAAATTACAGATCAAAGTAATAACTATTTATACATTTATAACAAGATATGCCAAAAAAGGGAAGGAAAACAAACTTCAGAAATGATTATGACTGATGTCAAGGCAAAGCACGGAGCAATTATGAATGGATTCATAAGGAGTAACACAAATGACTCAGGAAAGGCATTAAATCTAGCTTATTTGCTAAGAATATATGAAATAACAAAAATACAGCTTCAATATTTCTTTTTAAATATCTGAGAAAATAGGCTCAAAGTTGTGTGCAGGAACTTCTGTGAAGGACAGCAGGAAAAAAAGTAACATACACACATGACCCAGCCTAGCACCTGAGGGGAGTAAAGGCATGTAACAGGGGAAGCACCAAAATGCAGGAGAAAATCTCCCCAGGCCATCAACACCTGTTCAACACAAAGATCTAGCAAGATGACTGCCGTACGGCATTAGTAGTTTAAAGATATAAGACAACACGGAAGGCATTAAGGAAAATACTTTGCGTCCATCATCATCCTTTTTATATGTCTGCGCAAGAGCAGGAAGTTCTCAACTTCCTCCTCCTTCCATTTCAAACACAGAAAAAAGTTTAAAGCCCAGGCTTTGTCCCAAGTTGTCTTATACAGCACAGCCACCTTTGGGTAGGACTGCACAGTATTAGGGCTTGTCATAACAGACGTTAAGACATACTGTTCTCTTCAGAGACTGCCCGTGCACTGGTCACACAGAAATCTTTGATTAGCACTGCGTGCTCCGAGCAGCACACCCCGGTGTCAGTCCCACAGAGAAGGGGCAGGCCAGCTGCTTCTTTCCCTCTGTCGTTCCAAGAGGGTTTCTGAGCAAATGGCAAATATACATTTAACCCAAAAGACTAAATAAAAGCACAAAAGCCAGAGAGCAGAACCTACTAAACCAACTCACCCAAGTGTATAAGGAAGACATCACGTGGAACGTACACGCATGGTTAAACAGAGATGAGGGGAAAGTAAATAGTTAGCCCAAAGGAACAGATAATCCTCTATGTAGGAATTAGGTAATTCTTTCAGCTACCATTATCAGCATCAAGTCAAACAACGTCACAAGTTCTGTGTTGTAATAAGCACTTCTTTATTCCTGCATCATTAGAAAATATTAATCTACATCCCACTAACCATTTTTATTTAAATACCATTAGACCTAAGTTGAAAGTCTTTATGGCTAGCTACTAAAATAAACCCTGAGGCCTGGAAGCACTCCTAGGCTGAAGCTTTGCTTCACGTGGAAACAAAAACTTATGATCTGGTCTGTGTACAGCCGCCTCTCAAATACCTACTGTCAACCTGTACTCGGTTACGTATGTGACATGACTTTTATTTACATGCTTTTCACGTTGTATTCTTATAGGAAGGTCACAGTGATCCTGTGGACATTCTCCTAATCCATTTCTCCAGCACTGCATTTCAAAGGAACTGAATCATTTCAGAACTGGCTTTGTGACAGTCCCGTCTTGACCCCAGCCTTCAAATTTAACTCCAGGAAGATCTGGATCTCAATGATGATCAATTGGCAGCAGGTTCTGTAAGCTAACTGCATCGTACAGAAAAGCATTTCCTTTAGCAGTATTGAGTCTGATGGCCTCATCTTCACTGGATTTTACCTTCCTTAGTGTAACACTAGGATAACAGCAGTTCCTCGCCATTGTATGTATATAGCAAGTTGTATGCAATATTTCATCATACATCTTACTCATCTCTTCTCTAGAGATTAGATAGAAGATTTGTGTCAATACTTACAGTTTTCTAATTGTTGGGTGTTTTGTTTTCTGTTTTTTTTTTTGGCTGAGGGGAAGCTGCATGTTTGTCGCGCTGTTTCTATGCCCTCTTTAAGGGGGAACTACCAGAACTCAGAGCATTCAAACTACTGGCAGCTTTGGAAATACATGCCAAGATCCTTTTTATTCTTCTATAGCAGCAAAATATAGATTTTCACTATGCAGTCTGCAGAGTTAGCTTTTTAAGTAGACTAGCTCAACATAAATAGCACTTATGTCTCCTAAACACTGCAGAAACCTAAGCTATTTAATCCTTACACAACTTATTTGAAACGGGCTTTTGGACAGAAGACTGCTGCTAAAACAAGAAACCAGCTGTAGAACAACTGAAGGATGCTTATATTCAAGTTTTTACATCCTCCAAAATATCCAAGACAAAGAAATCCACAATAAGCAGTGATAACTAGGCTTTCATGGAAGACACGGTGACTAAAACCAAGTAAACAAATCGGACAAAATAGTGGAAGTCATCAGAATATGCTTACTTTGCCAGTAAATGCTGTCTAGGCCAGGTGTCATCATCATTTTTCACTTCTATTAGAACAACCTGAAAGAGAGTTCAGGTAATAAAAACACAACTGAAAATCTGCTACACACTTTGCAAAATCATTAACAAATCACATTCTCAGCATTTGCTCAATGTATATGACAGGGAAAGAAAACAGCACATGATAATCTAAGAAGCTGTAAACTCAGAGATAAAGCATTGCTCGAGAAAACTTATACTGTAAATTGCAGAGCACTTTTAGTGTACACTGCCATCCTTTACCGTGAGCATTGGGGGGGGGGAAGAAATGCCCCTTACCTGCCCATGATACAGGCCCGCATCTTGCACAGTGCTATCCGGCTTGCTGAGCTGCTCAAAAGTGTTACTCATATACCTGTTCCATAACCTAGTTTCCTTCTCAGCTGGGATGTTAAATAGTTTTCTCATTTCTTTCTCAATAGTGGCTGTTCAGGAAGAAAAGACACCAAAATTCCTAAAACATGAGTACTTTTGGAAAAAAAAAAAGCCAGCCTTCTAGCAAGGAAGTACATCATCGATTAGTCAAGATCTTTTGAGTAGGAAAATCACCATGGAAGTTACAATTGCTCATGTAACTTCTCCAGTATTTAGTCTGAAAGAAAGAAATGCAGTTATTTCAGTCGTGCATTTACATATCAGGCCCTCCATTCGATAACATTCAGAACACATGGAGAAGCTTCTGTCCAAAGGCCAGCTTTTGTGGAGCAGTCATGATTTGAAAACACAGGCTCAAGAAACATTACAAGAAAACTTTACAGAAACATAACTAGCTGACACTCAGCATTTTTACAGGTGAAAATACAGGGATGATACACAGAAGCCACGCTTCAGGAAGAACAGAAGCATAGGATAAGCCATTAAGAAAACATCTAAATATTCACATACAAAGAGTCATGTAAGAACCAAAGACAGAACTGCTTTACACAAGTGACGTGGATGTTCCTCAAGAACACAGGTTAGTAAGCAATGCATTCCTCAAAGCTTTTAATAACAAATCTCTGCACTGCACACAGTCTCTGTGGCTAGAAGAAACTTCAGGGTGTTCCTAGTCCAACCACTCAAAGCTGAGTTAACACTGCATTCAGACCAGGCTGCTTGGGACTTATCCAACCAGGTCTTCCAAGCTGGTAGGGAAGGAGATTCCCCCTCCCTCTGGGCCCCGTTCTGACTGTCCAGCTGTCCTGACAGGGAAAACTTTTTCATTATATTCAACTGCAGTCTGTCACGTTTCAAATGATGACTGTCTGCCGTTTTCTTGCATTGTGCCTCAGTAAAGAGCCTGACTCCATAACCCCAGTAACCTCCTCATAGGTACTGTGAGGCTGCTAAGAGGTCTCCCCAAAGCCTTCTCCAGGCTAAACACAGCTCCTTCAGCCTCTTCTCGCACATCACATGCTCCAACCACAACCATCTTTTTGGTACCCACTAGACTTGTTCTAATTTCTCAACACCTTTCTTGCTCTGAAGGGTACAAAACATCTCTTGATGGAGTCTCAGAACACAGCTTAATGCATCAGAGAGCTACTTACCAACGGTATCCGCTTTGCTGAAGTGGCAGCTGATTACGTTGTCCGGATCACTGCTCTCACACAGCTTCAGTTCAAGAAGATAAACTTCAACTTTACAGTGCTTCACAAACAGACCGTATTCTACTACCTCCAGACAGAAGGAAGATGCGACAAAGCACAAACAAGAAAGTTAGAATCGTAAAGAAGTGTAGTTTACAGAGCATTAAGTGTTTTTAAAAAGTTGTTAAAAGTGCTTCTTACCCTGAGACCTGTTTTCAGCTAACTGATGCACTAAGCCATTAAGGTTACAAATTTGATGCATTTATTTCATTTCCTGTCTCTACACTATGGACAATTCCACCAGTACTATTTAACTTTACGTGCTTAAATACAAGTAATTTGCATTTAAGCCTGCTACTTTATTAATTTAAATACTATACTCACTTCCTCATAGTCTCTTTTTGATAAAGAAAACTACATACAGCACAATCCTGAAGTCTCTTCCAACACTCCATGCAAGAGTAATATTTCATTTATAAAATGAATAAAAGCCAAGTTTTAGTCTATTTAAGACTGTACAGGAAAAACACGTGGTTTCCCAAGCATTAAACTACTAATTCCATATCGATTTGGAAAGAGACACTGAAAAGTTTACCCTATTAAAAAATAGTTGTTTTTTTTTTAATTATTTGCACAGAGCTTTGCAGTTGTAAAGCCTATGAAACTGAGATCACATTTCATTTAACCAAAAGGTGTAAAAAGTAAGGTTTTTCCCGTGACATCAAACTAACTACGATCTACATCCATGATCTCTATCTTTCTCATTTTATAGGTGAAAACAGAAATGAAAAACACTTGGTCGAGTTTTGGAAAGAAAGGAAGAATCAAGTCTAAGACTTATTGTAAGAATTTGGCAAAACTACGCTTCCCTTTTTGGAGCTTTTATCGGGTAACATTATATGAAATATTAAAGGTTGTTTTTTTACAGAAGGATCTTCAGTATTTTACTGTTACAACAGGAACAGAAAGTAACAGTCAGGAAAGTTTTTTTTTTTTTTTTTAAATATGCAAAGGAACCCATTCACAAGCTCTCAGTTTCTTTTTAGAAGAAATTTTAGTATATGGGACTTCTTGGTTTCTGGGATTCTTGACTTAGAAACAAGTGAAAACTGCATTTAGAAATGGAGGAACTCTTTCCAAGGAAAAGTTTCTGATCAGATTACTGCATCTATTCATAGAATTTGGGTTGGAAAGAACAAAGACCATACAGTTCCAACCCCCTGCCCCCAGCCCCATCCAGCCTGGCCTTGGGCACTGCCAGGGATGGGGCAGCCACAGCTCCTCTGGGCAGCCTGGGCCAGGGCCTCACCACCCTCTGAGTGAAGGATTTCTTCCTTATATCTCATCTAAACCTACCCTCTTTTAGTTGAAAGCCATTATTCCTCCTGGTCCTGTCACTACACTCCGTGTAGGCCCCCTTTAGATACTGGAAGGACAGATGAAAGTCTCTAATCACCTGCAGATGTCTTTTAAAAAAAGTCTCTCCTCAGCTAGCTTGCTCTCTGTGCAGTTTGCCAAAGTAGAATTTGAGTCATCCCATTAGACATTGCTGTTCTCAGAGTGCTGTCCAAGTGCTGAGGAAGCACACTGGTACTGACATCCAAACTCACTGCTCTACAGTTTGTACATTAACACACTCTGCATTGGATCATTTATAGGGACTATCCCAAAAACACGGTTTGGAATTCTGAAACAAAACGAACCCCAAACAAATCTGATCTCCCCGTACTTGTCATCAGACACACAGCAATGGAAGAAATCCCAACTTGCAAAGTTAGGAAGATGTTTGAAAAATAATTACTTTCAAAATCTTACAGATACCCTGACGCATAAATCATAGTTGACCTACTTTTAGGAAAAGGATTAGAGCACTCAAGGATCACAAGTGCTTTACTTCCAATGCCATCTAGAAAACTCTCACCAGACACCAGCCAGGTTACGCTCAGGTGCAGTACTGTGGCTTGCATGCCCCACTGATGTTTCCTTTTTTTTTTTTATATCCTTCAAAATTACTATTCCCATATATATTAAGGTGGTTTCTTTTAGACTGCAGGATCTACTTCAACCAGTAAATTAATGACATAGACTGAAACTCTCACAACAATTCAAGACTTTAAAAATAGAGGTATTTTTAACTGGACCATGGTAACTCAGCATCACTTGTCTGTAAAACAACATCTCTAAGCTCTAGCACTCAATAATTACAGTGCTGAAAACTTGCATCTGATAGCCCATGAAAAGGAGATTCATACACTTAAACCTGTCACCCAATCGTTTCCCCAATAGATTCCAAACTTGCTGCCCAAATTTTTCAGAGAAAACAAACATCTAACGATACACCAGGTTTTGTAAAAGTGATCAGTCTGTCAAAGAAAGAAAATCTTCCTTACTCATAAAGGCAGCAATCATTTATAGTAGTATTTTTTTTCTCTGTATATATTTTTTTAATCCAGAATTAAGCATTTCTATTAAAAAATACATCTTTATATGGTATAATTCATTTCCACCTGCCTCCACCTGCTTCTAGGGAGTTCACACTGTTCTACCACAGTAGAGTGAACGTGGGGCTACCTGGTAAACCTCGGAAAGGAGAAGCTGAGATCATTTACACTTTGTGAAGAAGTCAGAATTTCCTACTACATAGAATATGTGACCCACACGGAATGACAACATTCCAGCATCACTGATCAGCATTGAGTGTGCCTGCAAGAGAGGAATCTTATTTCCTTTTTCCATTCTGGTGCCACCCTTTCCTACACCTTGCTTACCTTCAAGCAGACCTTACCGTAGCACAACGCCACTTAAACACACGCAATACTCATTTTGCACATCAACACCACTTGCTTGGTGTAGCAATTAGTCTTTATGAACCCCACAAACTGGCACTGCCAGTTACTTAAAAGCCAGTATAAAAGCCTACGACGAAAATGAGAACAGAACTCCTTTCACCTGTAAACAACTGTCTGAAAGATTTCAAGAGAACAAGTAGTGGATCGGACTTTTCAGGACAGCTTAGGTACTTATGATTGCATTCGTGACTACTTGCAGAACAAGAGCATGTTAAAAGCTTAAAGAAAACCACAGATCTGTCTCTTTTCTTCCAATTTTAGAGTACGAAAGTTTCTGAAAACAAGAACCACCTTAAACTCCAGAGAAAGTCCCCAAGCCATCTGTATTAGAAGGAAGTTTATTCCAATGCCTCATTCTGTCCCAAAAACCTGACAAGTGTGACTAAAAACCTGCACTCTTCAGTAAACTCACGTTCTTCAATAAACTACTCCATACAACTACACCGCTCAAATCATTAATGTAAAAAGGTTCCTAGAAAAGGTTAACGGCTCTCACCCCACATAACCCATCAGCTGTGAGTATTCAGGTGTTTTAACAGCAATGCTGTAGAGTCATGTTTTTCAGACAAGACTTGATGTTATTCTCTCCAGAGTGGTTGAGCATCCTCTCTTATCTCATATCAAGTAAAACAACCACCACCTAAGCTGTGTAAAGATACAAAAAGCGTGACGAACAGAACACACTCCACCCATACTTACTTTCCTCACAATAGGCTGCTGTCCATCTATGCAGCCGTACCACGCTACCAACTTATTCCAGGCCTCAGTGGGAACCAGCACGTAGTCCAGTTCATCGATGAGGTGTTCCTTCAAGCTCTGCGTTTCCGCATCTGAAAAGGAAACGTGAAAAAGCCGGGTGTAAAAGCGAACTCTTCCCTGCCAAGGGAGTAAAAAGAAATTCTTCATTCCCAGCAGCTACCGCAGCCCCGAGAGCCCCCCGTGAGCGTGCCGAGGCCCCGGGCCGTTACGGAGCGCTCGGCCCCCGGTTGGGCCCCGCGGCGCCACTCACCGCTGAAGAGCCCCGAGTTATCCACGGGCCCGGGGAAGAGGCTGGGGTCTCCCACGCCGAACATGTCCCAGCTGTCGAAGCCCACGAACTTCTTCCACTGCTTAAACCAGCTGATGTCCACCAGGTACCTGCAACGCACGGCGCAGCCCCCTCAGCGGCGCGGCCCGGCCCGGCTCGCTCCCACAGGCCTCGCGGCCACACGGGGAGGGGGAACGTGAAGAAAAAGGATAACACCGGCAGCTCGGCCGCACTCACCAGGCCTCCCCGGGGCGCAGCGCCGTGGCCAGCAGCGCCCGGAGCTCTGCCCGCTGCACCGCCGTGTCCGGCCGCGCCCCGCCGCCCTCGGCCGCCGCCATCTTGGTGCGCTCGCCCCGCCGCTGCCGGTGGGCGGCCCGCGTGCGCATGCGCGTTGCGAAGGGCGGGGGTTGGGGGGGGGGCTCAACGGTCAGCCCCGCCTCAGCGCGACCTCCGCGGGGGCGGGAAGGGAAGGGGAGGGGGAGCCGCCATTTTGTCCCTCTGCTTAGTTGGGGGGGGGGGGGGTGACAAGTTTAGTTCCGTATTTTATCAAAACATAGAAAACACGAGTCGGAAGGGAGCCGTAAGGATCACGGAGTCCAAGTCCTGGCACCACAGAGGTCCACCCAAAAATTCAGAGCACAGTCCAAACGCTTCTTAAATCCAACAGGCTCGGTGCAGTGACTGTGTCCCTGGGGAGCCTGTTCAGTGCACGCCAACCCTCACCCTGAAGAACCTCTTCCTGATGCCCAGCCCTATTTCATGAGGGACAGATCCCCTCAATGCTGTTTCCAGCTGTCGTGCTTGTTTTCTCCTCCAGCTGTCTTGCTGGAGCCCTCTGCTCAGGGCGCTGGCTAGGGAAGGGGATTTCACATTGGAAGGGGAAGGAAAGAGCAAACAGATCTGAGTAATGGGCTGTGGAGCTCTCAGGAGCTGATAAAGTGTCTCTGGAAACAACTTCTTGGGAAGAGATTTGGTCATTTGTCATTATTACAGTGTGTCCCAGTGGGGAAGCTTCGTTTATGTTGCATGGGCTTGAGCAGTGGGAAAAGCGGGGGGGGGGGGGGGGGGGCGGTTCAGGTGGTGATTCAGAAATGCCAAAGAAATTAAATACCAAAGAAATCCTTTTTCCTCGCCGAGAAGGCAGCATGCTGATGTGAATATCTGCACAGAGGAATGTGCTCCTGGCACAGGGGCAGCTCTGCAGGTGGGCTCTGCCGCCCCACAGCCAGGTCTGGCCATGCTGCACCCATTGGGGGGAAGCTGTTGGTGTGGTGACTGCTGTGAAAGCCTATTCAGTTCATATTGAAAAAGATGACAATTTCCTCCTTCCAGCAAGAGGAGATTTCTGTTACTTCTGTTTTTCTCAAAGGGCAGTGCCCCTTTGGATTTTCAAGAACCCGGTACACCCTGTTAGGACAAGGCTGGGTGTGTTTTTAAAATGAGTCAGCTCTTCTGAGGTAATGCTTTTACATGGCTGACCTCACTGCTAATGAATTACCTACTCCTAATACAAAGCGTGGTAAAGAAAACAGTCTCATTCATAGCTTTCTGATTCAGAACTAGAAATGACATTATTGCAGTTTCACAGTAGATACGGGGGCAATGTCTTCTCTTGTCTCTTTTGAGCGCTGTCTTTTCATCCATGTAGCTTCCTGTCCTTACTTGTCTCCAGCTGAAAGCTAAACGGCTGTTCAGCTGCCAGAGAGGTACCAACAGGAACAAAAACTGTTCTTTTCAAGCACCACCCAGTTTGAGGTCAGCATTTTCTACCTGCCTTGCTATGGCAATGATTACAACCAGTCTGTCTTAAAGTTCCTGCATGCTCATCCGGAGGAGAAAGGAATTATAAATAGCTGGGAACTTTTTAACAGGCAGAGAAAAGTCTCATGCTCCACTTGATGGCATTTCTGTTGTATAAACACTTCAGACCACCACAGTTCCTCGATCATGGTTTCAGCACATGCCTTCGGGCTCGGTGTGCAGAGCATTAGGAAACCCAGGAGAGGGAGATAGGAGCAGGAAGGGAAAATTTTCTTTGCAGCTAGTTAACGCTTCTGACAGGTTCATCTCCAAACTCGTTAAAAGGTTTAAAAAAATTGATGGCAGCTATCAACAGCTTAGAAAGGGGGCGAGGGGGATCATGAGGTGTGTGGGGAGGAGGGCAAAACACATTCTCTAGAAAGGTGGGAAAGATGGGACTGATAAGTAGAGGAATGGAAAACCGGGGTGAGTGCTAACAGAGGAAGTGGCTGTTTGCAGATAAGTGTTGAAGTAGAAAGGTGTAGGAGTGTAGATATGAGACAGATATGGAAAGGGCAATGTCTTCAGGCCACGGAAAGTATGCTACAGTAGTATTTATTCTAAGGTGTCCTACTGAGTCAGACTCTTTCTCTCTTAAATTACAGAAATAGAACTCTTTTATATTCACTGAGGAATCAGCTGGCATTCTTTGGGTGTACCCTGAGTTTAGAGCTGCTACCTGTAGTGAAATTTCCTCCCACATGGTTAAAACTCATTTGAGCATGAAAGCCTGCATGGGGGCAGTCCTCTTCTGTATGTCCCTGAGGAACATTTCCAGCCTGCAGGCTGCACTTTCTACCACAGCCTGCTTTTACCCCAGTAGCCAGCCATTGTGGGGAATGATGAAACCAGAGAGGAAATAACAAAGGGAAGAGGCTTTTATCTGCTCTGCAGAGTTGCTTCTGGGACTGCAGTGTCCTTACACTGGGATCATTTGTTTTCCTACTGGCATTGCTAATTTTCATTCTGGAATAGCATCACTGAACTTTGGTGCAGCTTTATCTGTCCTGGAGCTGCTGCTTTGCTTTGCTGCTCTAACAGCCCCAGCAGCCAGACAGTAAATAAATCCCTTGGCCGTTGGCACGGACTGATCACCATGTAAGATGCGCTCTCGGTCAGCAGGCAGAGATCCTGTTTAGCAGAGAGCTTCCTTTTGGCAGGGCTGCCCTGGGACCAGCAGCAGGTGTTATATTCTGCTCTGCTGTGGGGCTCAGCAAGGGCTGCAGGCTGGTACGGAGATGGCAGAGCACACGAGGTGTCCCTGCAAAGGCTCCTGTTCAAACATCTGGTGAGCCAAGATGAAGGAAATGCCACAGTTCGTGTTGAATACAATTTTAAAATACAGTGCAATGAGTAGCAGTTCCTGCTGCCTGTGAGCTGCTGTACTCTCGGCGTATTTCAACATCCTGTGTTAATTAGGGAAGTAGATTTACTGCAAAATTAACACACCAAATCAAGCAGCTTCAGCCCCAAAGCTGAAATAGTTACTGAAAACATCCTGTTTTTCCACAAAGCTGTACTGGAAGTTAAGAAATAGCCCGGTGAGGATTGTGCAATCTGAGTTCAAATCTTGATTACTCACAGGCAGAAGTAAGCAGGGTGGAGCCAGCTGTAGGTTTTGCTGTAATGCGTCAAGCCCAGCACCAGTCAACCCAGCAAGGGCCTTGAATGTACTTGCACTAACAAAGCAGGCAGAAAATCAAGGAGGTAAGAAGCTATGGACAGGAGAATAATAATAAATAAATAAATAATAATAATAAACAGCTAAAGTTTAATTATGTAAATAGTGTGTAAATGATAAAGCTTAAAAGTGTGACTTCCCTTCAAAAGTTGCAGTTCCTAGTTTGGGTTTGTACCCCTCAGTTCAGCACCAGGTTTATACCCAGTGCTACAAGGCCTTGTGAGGAGTAATTTGTACTGAAAATGTGCTCACAGAGATGTTTAAGGAGTGAAAATTTACCTGCAGAAGGACCTGTGCAACTGCCCAATATGATGGCAAATAGAATTTGGCACAGGTTCATGGTTTCCAGGAGAGAACCAGTGCTAATTTTAGCCATTCAGCAGCATGTTGTAAACCCTGCATCACTGCTCAGGAACAACACATCAGGATTGTCACAACTACATGAAATATGTCAGCTTGGTGCCCGTCAGGAGTCAAAAACATGTCAGGAAAGGAATAAAAACAAAATAAAAACATTGCCTGAACCCTGGTTCACCCACGCTTTGCATGTTGCATTCAGTTCTTTGCCCAAAGGTCAGCAATGACAACCTGAGGTAAAACAGTTTCTGCAGGAGAAGCAAGCTGATATTCTGTGCTGGAAATGAAAGAACCACTCCTCTGCGTAATTCCCTGCATTGCAAGGTGATGTGGGCTGAATGCCAGACTGGGCAAGTGTGTGGAAAGCCCAACACATGTTGGGCTGCCTCCAATACAAGATGTGACAGCCACAGGAGATAGCTGGGCCAGAAAGGAGGCAGAGGTGCTATGGATGCTGCTGTGGTTCTGAGTCTCCCCAGAGTTTCTCCTGGTGCAGGACAAATAATAAGACAGGCCTTGGGCAAAGGCTGCTCCTCCCCGTGCCCCTTGCCAGTGTGGGCACAGCAAGCAGGACAAACCACGTGGTTGCTCATCTGCCTGAACATTTATTAACCTGTTACGGACTGCTCCTGGTGTCTGTGCTGAGGGTCAGCCAATCTAAATTCATCCTTGGCTGCCTGCCCCCATGCCTCTCCTAAACAAGCCTCAAGGTCCACTAAGCTGTTTTACAAGGTATCTGTTCTGTGCCAGGCTCTCGTTCCGCCACCTTTGTTTTGCAAGGGGTGAGATACGACACTGATTCAGAGGTTGCAAACATTGCAAACCGTTTCCCCGTCCCGCCGGGCTGTGTTTGTTTTCAAATTGAGCCTGCGTTGTTTGAGTCAGGCCTGCAAGCACCAACAGGACCTGACAAGCGTGTAACGCAGCAGCCATGTTCTGCCCAACTCACCCAGATTTAACAAGCAGTAGCCTTAAAGAAAACACTTTTTTGTTGTTTTGTTTCATTTTGTTTTTATTCAGAGAATCACAGTAAGCCACTGAGATTCACGGGCTGCTTTCCCTAGCATACTTTTCCAAACATTCACATGCAACTTTTGAAACATCAAGTACACTTCAAGGATTTGGAAGATGCACCATCATAAGCAAAACTTGCAAGGACATTGGAATTTCTGTCAGGGTAACAGCCCTTTCCTAGCAAAGCAGGCACGAGCTGAGGGAGCAGGGCCGGCGGGGCAGCAGATCCTAAAGAGCTCGGCTTTATTGCAGAGCCTCCTTGGGGACTTTCTGAAGCAGCAGCTCGATGTCATCCTGGATCTTGATGGTTTCGAAGTGCCGGCTGTAGCGCTTGAAGGGCACGCCGTCGGGAGCGATGAGGAACTTCTCGAAGTTCCAGGAGATGTCGTTGCGGCGCACGGGCGACCAGATGATGTACTGCGGGTTGGTCATCAGCGCCGAGGGGTCGTCGTGCGGGAAGGGCAGGGCCTCCTTCAGGAAGGTGAAGAGCGGGTGGGCGTCCTTCCCGTTCACCTCGCACTTCTCGAAGACGGGGAAGTTGGGCTTGTACCCGTTGCCAGGCCGCACGTGCTCCAGCGAGCGCAGGATCTCCTCGTTGGTGGCATTCTCCTGCGGAGACAGAGCCCCCCGTCACCACACCCCATCACACCCCACCCGTCCCCTCGCCCCCGGCTCCCTGCCCCTCTCCTCACTCCGGGGCCCCATCCCCAGTACCTGGTGGCCGAACTGGTTGCAGGGGAAGCCGAGGACTTGCAGCCCGCGGGGCCCGAAGCGGCGCTGCAGCTCGTTGAGCTGCAGGAAGTCGCGGGTGGTGGTGCCTCAGAGCGACGCCACGTTCACCACCAGCAGCACCTTGCCCCGCAGCGAGCCGAGCGACAGCGGCTCCGCCGCGCCCAGCGGCCGCGCAGAGATCCCCGCCAGCACCTCAGCCGCCATGGCTCCTCACCCACCGACAGACAGACACAGACACACCGACAGACTGACGGACAGCCCCACGGACAGCCCTACAGCCCGCCCTGTTCCGCCCCGTTCCGCCCCCATCGGGCGGAGGCGATGGGAGCCATAGGGCCGGGCATCTGGGGCCCCTTTTGCAATTTTTCTGCGTCTCTAAAGCGAGCTTTTTTTTTCTCCTCTTGCTTTATTTTTTTATTTTTTTTCTCCTTTCTCTTTTCCATGTGTTTTCTCAGCAGCGGCTGTGCTCTTCAAGGATTTGTGCCGGTCCTGGGTGGGCTCCGTGGCCCTGTCCCCACTGCAGGCCGTGTGGCCCCACTGCCCTTCTGTGGGTGTTAGTGCTGAAATCTCGCCCTCACACACATCAATGTTTATTGCAGGCCCTTGTTCCACGGAACGGGTTCAAAAATAGTGTCAGGGAACAGCGAGGGTGGGCCCAGTGGCTCGGTCCCTGAGGTGGATTAGCAGGGACCACGGGCAGCACAGCTGGGCAGGGACCAGAAGCAGCGATGTTGGCTCCAGCAAGGGAAAGATGGGAGCCCCTGCCCAGGGTGGGCATCTCCCTGCCACGATGGGAGCTCCACTTGGTGCTCCCAGTCTGAGCTATTCGCTCACAGGAGCTTCAAGGGCAGACGGCTGCTTATCAGCATGGCCCCGAGCCAGGGCAGCCTGGGCCCCAAGCAGTGGGGAACTATTTTCTCACTGCCTTTCATGCTGTGTTTTTAGGGACTCACCCCAAAATGCCAGCTGTCACTAGCTGCCAGCACATAGCATTGCATCTCTGATTCACGTTCCCAGGTTCTTCAGGGTTTTGCTTTCGGCTACTCTTGGCATCTGCCCCAGCGGCTGGGAACCGAAGTAGTTCCCAGCTGCAGGGAGTTTTAGGGACTTGCGTGATGATCCTGCACCTTCAGGGACTTGTGGTCTTTGCAATGTGCTGCAGCACTGATAGCAGAAGCCATGACAACTGTCCCAAGATCAGGAAGTCCTGAGATCAGATCAGCCAGAAAATGTCTGATGGGGCGAGCAGAAAGAAACACATGACCCATGTTTTTGAGTAAATTGACAGTTACAGCCTATGCAAGATTCATCGTCCTCCTCTTGGACACAGCAAGCCACCGTGGCTTGAAGAAGAGGAATTTCTCTTTGGGTTTTGTTGCTTGCTCAGACTGGCACCATCACTCCTTAGTCTGGACTTGGGGATTTCTTCTGGAGTAGGGAGTTTATTTCTGGGGCCCTGCTTTTCTAAAGGGCTTTCCCTTAATTCATGGGCAATCTTTAAGGAAACTGACAAGTAAGCTGAACTTCCTTTTTGGCCCTGAGCTATGCCCTGTGCCTAGGCACATGCTGTGGAGCCAGCTTAACTTGGATCCAGAGAAGCGACAGGAGCTCTCTGGGGACAGGATGAGCTCCAGGGACTCCTCTTGAGATGCCTGACAAGTTATAACTCTCCTATCAGTCAGAAAGCAGATTAGTGCTGTTTAACAGCAACAACGGTGAGTAATCACATAGGCCATGAAACACCTTCCTGCCTCCCACAAGGCCTTCGCCTCACTCTTGGCATGGGACTCTCCCCCTGTGCCAGGAACTCCTCGCTCGGCAGGGGCTGGCACCTCACTCTCAGCTTTTCCCCCACGGCTATGCTGCCCCTTTCAGACCTCCTGGCCTGGCTCAGAGCAGCAAGCTTTCCTTCCCTAATTCTGTTTTGCCCATCCATGTCCTCGTTTCACTGGAGCAAAGGCAGCTGACAGAGGTGACAGATCGGATTTGAACCCAAAGGCCAGGATGCCAGCCCTCAAAAGCAGGAAGGTTGAGGGCTGATAAATTCACACCCTGCAGCTGCGAGCACGTTTCTGCTCCAATGCCAGTGGGCCAGGGAACAAGGAAAGGAGTGAGAAGTTCAGGCTGTGACTGACCAACACATCTGACCTCGGAGAAAGGCAGGCAAGGCCTGGAAACCGAAGAGCAGCTGGCAGACAAGACAGAAGCGAGACAAGGGGACAGTTCTGGAGGCGGGAGCTTAGATTAAGATCAGGATAACAAGTTAATCACTTCTGGGTGGAAGCGCATCAGCAGATGCATAACTCATGAGCTGAAGGGCACGCAGATCTTACTCAAAACCCCTGTGGCTAAAGAGCTGCTTGGTAACTGTGACCATTGTGTGCTGCAACCCAACGATTCTATGAGATTGGAAAAAAAAAAACACATTTTTGTTCTGTTTTTAAAGTCGAGAAAAACAAAAAAACAATTACAATAACAACAACAATAAAAAAAAATAAAAAGAATCACCCCCAAAAAAGGAACTGCACAGGAATGAGTAAGCTTAACAGCAGCAAATGAAAGCCCCGCAGGCGGCCCAGCAGCTGGGGACTTCCTGCTCTGTTCAGCTGCTCCAGGAAGGGGCACCCGGGAGGAAGAGGGGAAGGGTGGGGCGGGTGCCACCGCTGGGGTGTCTGTGCCTGCAGAGGGACAGGGGCTGCAGACACAGGGCACTCCCAAGGCCTCAGGTTAGGTCCACTTTTTTTGCTGCAGGAAAACGAATCGGGAACATTGCCCAGAATAGTGTTATCAGGGCTTCCCCCCTGCCTTCCCCCAGCAGTCCCCGTAGAGGCACTGCTCACAGAAGGGGCAGGTTACACAGCACACGCCTGCCACAGCACAGCACTTGGGCTCTGACAGTGCAGATCAGCACTCAGCATACCATCGCCTGCCTCTACAGCAACACTTGCCTTCGTGTCCCTTGTTCCTACATGCCCCTCTCCCACCCCCCGCTAGCCTATTCCTGTGCTCAAGACCAAATTCAGCTCAACTGCTGTACGCCTTCACCTGGTTTGAACAGCTCAAGAAGCTTCCAGGGAGTATTTGGCTAGAGGCTCCTGGGGAAGCTTTGCCACGCACCAAAGGGGCCAGGCAGGGTGAGGGATTGTACCTCTGGTCTCTGCTGTGCTTGGAACCACTGTAGGCAGCACACGGGCATCACTTACCAAGAAAAAAAATATTAAAGCACTTGCAAGCTGCTCAGTGAATCCTATCACAGCCGCATCAAAAATGGTATTTCTGGTTCAAGTTGTCAGACACTGGGCCAAAAACACAGTGAGGAATACAGACACCAGGATACAGGGAGCTTAGAAAACTGCCTTTATTCTATTAGTTGTTGGAAAAATGAAAATACAGAAAGAGTTTAGTTGGCTGCAGAACAGCAAGAAGTTCACAGGTTAGGAGTCTGATCACTACATGGTAACCAAACTTACACAAAAAGTTTCATTTTTTTAGTTTTGAAACTGGGTCCAGCAATGAACTTAAGGCAACTGAACAGTTCAGAAGCTTTGAGTGTGAGCAGGCTGTCTTTTCTCTATGGCATGTCACGGAAAAAACTCCTCCTGGGTATGCAGACCACTCAAATGGGTCAGACTCTTACAAATGAACAGGGGAAGAGGATCAGCTGCTTTCCATCTTACTTTATTTTTTCAAATACAGTTTCTTAAAAAACCCAGAACACCTTAATGCAGAGGTTACAAGTAACAGTATTAGGAAATCCAATTATACAAAAAATACTACATCTAAGCTGGGGTAAATAGATTTATTTTTGGTAACATACATTTAAACTGGCACTAATTACACAGTAACTAAAAGGTAACTAACATGAAACCACAGAACCCTCACTTGTCCTTAGCTGAATGGGACTTGGTCATTTCAGAGTGATCACATTTTTAAACTAATGTTTTAAATCACTGAGCCATGAAAATCAGATCTTCCTAAATGTGATAGCACTGAAGCTACACTTGATTCCACATACAGCCATGTAATTGTTGTACTCAATTAGAATAGGACGTTAGTTATAAAGTAGTTACAGACCAATCCTCTGTGTTGACAGCTTTTTCTCTTTCTAGAGAGAAGACAGAAGATAGAGAATTGTCTTCAGTTAGCGCCTGACATATCCTGTGAGTGCAGAAAAGGTTGGTTAGAGGAATGTTGAGGTTAACCTTGGGTGCACAGATGAATTTGATGCAGATTGTTATAAAAATCATGGTTGGCTTCTAAATACTGGTAGCAAGATGACTCGATTTTTAAATCTCTTAAGTAAATTATAGATAATGAAAAAGGCCAGTAATCATACACTAAGATTAATAAACAGCACTTCAAAATTACTCAAGTGCAGGGTGCTGCTTTGGCCATCTTCCTCTGGCCACACTTTATAAGAGAAGGCACCCAGACTTTTTCTTGCCACGCCGGGCTTGCAAAGCAGCTCTAGTGGCCATTTCAAAAACCTCCCTCACACCGTCTTTGGTCTTTGCCGAACACTCCATATACCCAAATGCACCAATGCGGTTTGCCATATCTCTTCCTTCTTCAGGTTTGACAGGCTCCTGCAACAACACAGAAGCAATTGGTGAAAAGTCCAAAGCCACACCAAACGTCCCCGATCTCTTCTTTCCCACCCAGCTTCCCAACAAACACAAAGATATTTCTAGATTAATACAGACAATTAGTTGGTCAATTAATAGCTAGTCACCCCTCTGAGACTGATACTTTAAAAATAATAAAGGCAGATTTAAAATACTATTTGCTTGTACTCTCAAGATGCTGCATATAATTCTCAGCCTGGATTACAGACTGCGTGCATACTAGCACATCACACCAGTGCTTGAGGACGTGATGGATTTTCTAATGCCTCTGAGTTTAAAAGAGCACAAGTCTGCTTATTTAAAACTAAACATTTATGCATCTTTTTGCCATAATTGTAACAAAAGCCTATGAACAAACCCTAAAATTGATGCCTCAATCTGTCTAAAAAGAAATATATTGCAACAGGAGCAAAAATTCCAGGTCCGAGCAGAGTACCTGCAGGCCTACACCCAACCTGGAAGCTTCAGACACTATCTGAAAATAAAACCAAGTGATACGCTCAGGAGTGAGCTACAGCACCTGTGAGCAATTCCTTCAAAACAGGTACCAATTAAACTGTTTCCTTATACAACCTGATCATACAAAATAAAGATTAATTGAAGTATGCATGCATTTGATGTACTGACTCTCTGCATCA